GTGACTAACCTGCTATTGCAATTTTTCAGTGTACCACATGGCAACACCACTACTACTGGATTGTACCACATGGCAACACTACTATTAGATTGAACTAGCATTTTCACCAAATGTACTAGAATGTTTTGGTTCTATCTCATTCACTCTACTCAAAACTGCAATGCATAAAAAAATTACAAAATGATACGCACTCTTTGCACACTGTCAAAGAATCATTGTACACAAAATCAACTTTGTTCAAATCAAAACAAAAAAACTAACCCATCTGGTGGATGATGGCACAAGCTTCCAAGAAAATTCTATTACAGTGAACCACATTATTTTAATGGATTTCTTCGCCAGTTAGTCGTCTGTAACTTCGTTTGTGGTTCAACTTGAATTATTCAAAACAAAAAATTAAACCCAAGAGGAAGAGGAGACAATACGAAAACGAACCAGTTTTCTGTCAAACGCGAACCAGCTCGTGATTGGTGCGTTAGATAGAGATAGAGATAGATATAGATAGACCCTAGGGGCATCCCACTCTAAACTTTGTATTTCTATCGATATACCTATAGATACCTGGGAATATTTATAAATACTTAAGAAATATCTAGCGATGGTTTATTTGGATTCAAATCTTAACCGAAAGGTAAAAGTTTTTTGTTGCGTATAATTTAAAGACGATAGGAAAAGAAACAGTGTTCAGTTTGCTCAGAAAGTTAATGGTCAATTTGTAGTCGATAGCCACACAGTTAGAAAAATTGAAGTAAAATTAAGTGCTCTGAGACTGACATATACGAGTGTCGGTTTTGACTCAATCAAACGTACTTTTAAGCTTTTCAGTCTCGGGACACTTAATTTTGCATTACATGTTTGTTTACGTGGCATCCTTTATGTCAAAGATGGATTCCCTCGCGTGTAAGATTAGGTATTTCTAAGTGTGCAGTCATCTACACGTTTCGTGACGGGTGGCGATTGGACTCCCATAATGAAGAGGGCCACGATGGAACAGCGGATACAGCTAAACGCATAACGGGTGGTGGACGAGCTACGATGAAGAAGCGAGAACACCGACAAACCGACATGACACTTAATTCCAAGGGGTAGGTCACTCCGCACACCAATTTTGGGTTATCTTTTTTGTCAGTGTGCCGCAAGTATGCCGATTGTGCCGGTCATAGAGCAAGCTGCGATTGTTTGTAAAATACCCATCCCGGCAACCCGGTATTTCTGACACCTTGAATGTTTTGGTTTGAAATAGCAAAGATAAATTGGATTGAGGATGACGCGGGAAGTGGTGGGTGTGTGAAATTTTGGTGTTTTGAGATCCATAGGGTAATAAAAGTCCTGTGTTTTAGTGTTTTATAATGCCCGCAAAGGCAGACCAGAAACCTAGCCTTTCGGCCGGAAAGAGTTGGAACTGGTGGGGAGCATTGTTGGAGACCGACTTTGGAGGGTAATGAATAGACTTCTTTAGTTTGTTCTGTGTGAGTTGCAGCATTATTTGAATTAAGGGCACTAATGAGGTTTGATTAACAGCACGTAATGTTCGGAACAACTTCAATGACAGTTTTCCAGCAGTGCCCCCTGTTTTATTTTACAACAATCTTATGCCTACGGGATTGTGCCGAAGGAAAGCCGAAAATGTGCCGATGGATGTGCCCAAGCTGTGTAGAATATAATTCCGGCACAATGTGCTGAGTGACTTACCCCTTGCTTAATTCTGACTTATGCCCGAAAATCGGAAACGGCTGATTTAAATGTGCAGTAATTCGAACTGTCAAAACCATAGGATTTTTTGATCTAGATAACAATAATTTGTCCAGAATAGATCAGACACGAACCAATTCATAACTTTTGCATGCGGGTTCATGGCATAGCTAAATATTTCCCACAAACACGGAGCCAGATGTCAGTAGGGTGCTTTGGTTGAAAATTTTATTGTTTTTGCTATGGTCATTGATGTCGGTTTGTCGGTGGCGAGAAGGTCAGTGAGTCAGGGAGCTTTGGAACAGAGTGAATCTGGTGAAATTTGGATAGGATTCAGGGACGTGAGGCACGTTGTTAGAGAGCACTTTTGGAAGGTAGTGTGTGAAGAGCGGTGACACTGTGCCTATCGGAGACCGAGATTTCAACTTCTGTGACAGCTAACGTCCGTGGTCTCCCAGGATTTGGGATCAGTCCACACTACAGCCAACAATCAATACGAAACTAACGATTTTAAATTGGCTCACCACTTTAGTAGCCTATTGGTCCCAAGCAAACGATTAACGTACCCTATTCTAGTTGAAATTCTATTACTATACTATGTTTGTTTTGATTCGCTATGAAAGTTTGACAGATAACATCAGGGGTGTGTGGATTCATGCAGAACATGCAGGGGTGAGTGAAATAGCTTGGGACTGCTTGGGACCGTTGTTCTGGTACTGAGTGAGCCAAAAATAATAATGATTTTCTTCGGGACCCAGTGGTCTTAGAGTTACCTCTATGCTACAGCCGCCGATAGCCACGAGGCCGGTTTTTCTATTGCAGCAGCGTAAGTGTTTCACCTCCCGTCCGCCATTGGATCAATAAAACCATTAAATTAAAGCCTAAATTAGCCCTTGAAGCTTGACATTCTCATAATTCCGAAAACTCTCCCTACCTTGCCAATGCCCGGAGACCCGGGAGCGAAAGAGGCCTTTGGTGCCCACCCCAACAACTGCCGACTGGCTTAGACCAGCAGTCAGCGATGTAGACACGTCCCCTTCAGGAACGGCGCAGAAGCTCCCGGTGTCAAACAGTTGTGAGTTTCAATATTAATAGAATTAACTACACGCCACTGACCGTATCGTAGGTGACTCGTTGATCCAGTCTCAAGAGGAACCTAAATTGATGGCCATTGGAACATTTCGACTATTGCTCCTTTAAATGTATCGTTCAAAATACACATCTTGAAATGACTATCATGTTATAAGTATAGTTTTCCCGGAGGTTTTTACCGAGGTTTTAATCCACTAGGATATTGATCCTGTGAAAATGACTACGGAAATTTAAGCTGATGGGAGCTGAATCGGAACTTGTAGCATCCGAAGAGCCAATTCTCATAGCTTCCGTAGCGTTATGGATTCCGTAGCATACGATACCCTTCTACTTGAAGCTCATAAAGGTCGCCAAGTTGGACAAGTTCAAATCGAAAAATCGGTTCAGAATAAAATTTAGAACGGTTATTAAAATTGACTATCATAACATTCAATTCACCTGTTATTTTTCTTACAGACGCTTACTTTGAATATTCCCTCGCAAAAATTAGAGAAAATGTAAACTCCCCCCCCCCCCATTTGTCACGTTGTTCCAATAACTAATGCATTGCTTGTCACATATTTGTAAATCCCCCTCCCCCCTAAGATCATGACGTATTTAATGGATGCTTCATTAGAGGCTTGAACTAGCTTCTAGTGGATAGTTATAATTATTTTACAACACAGATTATAAAAAAAATGTGGCGATATTCGGGGTATGCTCATTAAATGGGTTAATGACCTGAAGGATAACCTTAAAAAATGCTCCATTATCGTTCAAAAAACCATATTGTAATTTTAAAATTATTGTTATTTATATTTTCGGTGGTTCGGTAAAGTATGATTAGTCTGTTAAATTTTTAGTAGTGTTGAGAATAAACAGTTTCATTTTATTTCATAATACATACAGTCAACAACATACATTTTTCCACAAATATGGAACACATCCATATGATGAACACACTAGACTGACTGTAAGTAATTAAATTTTCTTTAATTGTAGGGGACTGTACACATTTCGAGCTCTTTGGTTCCACAACCGTCTTCTAGGATCCTGATGTTGGAGAAAACGGATCAACAAGGCTTGGTGTACTTCAATTTCACATTTTAGATCACTGAAAAACATACATTTTGTTATATCCTTTCGTGGACGGATTTGAAATACGTACCCCTTGGAATGAATGCAGACTTCATTTGAAATAAACTCATTTTATACTCTAAAAAAATGATCAGATCACGCGACTAAAATTATCGAACTGATGGAGCAAAAAACAACAAACATAGTATTAGCAACCGGCCATGAAACAAAGTAGCTACGATGAAAATAAAACCTAGAATTAAAATACTTAAAAATACTTAGCGATACTTACGAGATATTTGAAAATATTTAATAAATATTGGAACTAAAGTTCAGAGTGGGATGCCCCTAGGATAGACCTGTGCACGGGTGAACTTTAGTTCATCTACTGAAAAAAAAAACAAATGACACAACAGCGGGGCCCTGTTTACTAAAAATGAACACTTGAATAATGCTCGCGTAACATTTGAAAAGGGCCTATCAACTTTTGTAAATAATTTGCTAGGTCTTTTCACGAGAACCGAAGTACGCCCACGCAAACCAAGAGCACTATCGGGAAGGGGAGAATTTCTCTGCTCGATGGTGTTGTTAGTTTGCGTGAGCGTATTCGGTTCGCGCGAAAAAGGCTTAACAATTGACCACTTTGTCAAGCAGTTTTGGCGTGACTTTCTACCAGCGATTTCACAAAACTGGACCAACTAATTTCTATTTTTTAATGAAACGGACAAATGTTGGCTACTTTTCTAGAGGTTCTAGAAGAAAAAATCTCAAAATAATGTTTCATTTCAAAGTTCGAGTGGTAGTAAACGTCATTTTTATCTGCTCGAATGAAGTGGTTAATTTTTGTGTACATAAGTTGAGTATTATTCATGTGTTCAATTTTAGTAAACAGGGCCCCGCTGTTGTGTCACTTTTTGTCGAGTGAGTGAACTCAGATCCATCCTTGCACTCGTCTATAGAGATAGAGATAAAAGCGATAAAAGAGTAAGAAGCCAGTTGTCTCCTCTTCCTCTTAGAATAAATCGTAAAGCACGCAGCCATCCAGGATGTTTCCCCGCCGTTCGGCGATTTGAATATTCTGCCAACACTTGCCTCGATGTAAACAAAGCAGTACATAACATTGTACATAACCTAATCTCGCAGGCAGCTGGCAGATAGATCCTTTCCTGCTGCGCGCAATATTTATTTTCGGTCTGATTTAAAACGCATTTCGGTGTTGTTGTACAAAACTTTTCTACCAAATAATTCTCTACAGTACAAACGGAAAATGTGTGTTAGGTTATAATGATATTCAAGCATCTGTTATCGTCTTGCTCAAAAACAAAGAACCAACTGCTGCAGGTGAAAGCACGATCAGCAAACAACGGCGTCACGACACCTCCCAACAAATCTGTACCTACGCCAGCAGCATTTAGCGTGTTAAATGTCCGCTACGTTTCCATCTTCGATGGCAAGGATGACCCATCCCTACCGGGTACGTCTCTGTTCAACATCAAGAAAACAGTCAAAGCCTCTCCATATGAATGCACGGAAGGATTCACATGCATACGGACGGTGTGTCCCGTTTGTAACGTCATACCGGGCCAGACTGAGAGTACCAAGGCAAAGAACAAACCGATATACGTCAACAAGACCACGGGTAACTTTACCTGTTCGACTTGTCAGCATTTGGGACGGTGGGACCACATCGAGAAGTTTTTCCTGCCGTTCAACAAAAGTGCCCGGACGGTTCAGGAAATGCGAACGCTGAGGGATGCATTTCTGGAGAGCAAAAAGGGAGATTTCAAAACATCCATTGAGCTTCCAAATGGTTCGGTTAAGGTTGATGAGAACCTTGCCGCGGAAGTGTGCAGTAAGTTAGGTTTGAATGTAAGTGCAATGATTAAAAATGTATCACAAATCTTAATATTAATGTTGGGTATACCTCGCAGGAAATTCCAGGGTCAAGTTTAGTTGCTATCGGATCTAGGTGGAATGCGGATGAAGGCCATTTATATGTTCCTCTTGTTGACGTAGAATCTAGGATAGTTGGTTACAAAGTAATTAGCCTTTCAAATCAGACCGGCGAGGATGTGCTAATCGAAAGAACCGTTCCCGAAGCGAACTGTTCGGGTTTAGTGTATTTTAAGTGCTCAGCTGCTTTTGGAACGACATCGAAACCTACTACCAAAGACCACTCCAACGCCATTCTGGTACTTAACGTAATGGATCTGTTAGCGTTGAGTACTGCTAAAATTAATGGTAATTCGTTTTCTGTTAAAATTGAGGATCTTAATAACTCTTTCTATCATATTCCCTTCAGTAACAGCAATTTGTCTTCCACATGACCTCAAAAGTCTACCTCAGCAGTGCCTTCCCGGATTGGAACGATTTCAAAAATTAACACTATGGTTCAACTACGACACCGCCGGCTGGGACACAGCTCGTAACTATGCCAAAAAATTGGACGAGCGAAGATGCATGTTTGTACGACCCACCGATGCACATCCAACTCCAGCTAAGGCACTTTCGTTGGGGCTTGACCTGAAGGGGATCTTTTCGAAAGCTCAACCAATATTACATCAGTCCATCACAACCTTTCACTCGCTACGGCAGGACGTGCTGAGTGATCTGCAGAATATCGATAAGGTTCAAGGAGTCAAATGGAAGAGATATCCAACGTTAAACAAACTACTGAAAGGGCATCGGAAAGGCGAATTGACCGTTTTAACTGGGCCTACTGGTTGTGGAAAAACCACGTTTATGTCAGATTACTCCCTAGATCTTGCCTTACAGGGTGTATCAACGCTCTGGGGATCTTTCGAAATTCGAAACACTCGATTAGCTTCTACATTGTTGCGACAAATGGCCGGACGACCGCTGGACGTGAATTTGTCCGAATTTGACTATTGGGCGGATGAGTTTGAGCGACTGCCAGTCTACTTCATGACCTTCCACGGTCAGCAGCCAATCAAAGTCGTTATGGAGGCCATCGAGCATGCGCAGTACGTGAATGACATCCAGCATGTGATCATCGACAATCTCCAATTTATGATGGGTGTATCGGAGGAGTCTAAGCATTTGGATCGCTACTGGAAACAGGATGCGATCATCGCATCATTTCGAACGTTTGCCACCCGGAAGAACTGCCATGTGACGCTAGTGATCCACCCCAGGAAGGAACGTGATACAGATGATCTGACGACCAGTTCGATTTTCGGGGGAGCGAAAGCTTCCCAAGAGGCGGACAATGTATTGATAATTCAGGACAAACGTCTAACGTCGGTTCGGGGAAAGAAATATCTGCAAGTGGCGAAAAATCGATTCAGTGGAGATCTGGGTATTATGCCTCTCGACTTCGATAAGCTCAGTCTGAGTTATGCTCAGAAGCGAAAAAAGACTGAATCGGTAGACACCCTCGCAGCAGACCCAGCTGAAACAACAATCAGTGATTCCTAGAGGTATTTATAGACATTTATTTACTTACATTCAAAAAGTATGCCATTGGATCAAAAGTTTTGCTAGTTACTTATCATAGACGGATATATAGAATTACTTAAATTAAAATCTTAATGTATATTTACATCCAAAAACTATCCTGAAATCCTTCCTCAATCAAGCGGATGACTGACGATAGTTTTTAACGTCAAGAAGTTTCTTACCACACATGGCGCAGATTCCTTTCTTGTAGGAACACTGTTGGCAGTAGTGTGAACCAGCTTGGTGAATTTTCTGTTTGCAAATTCTGCAATAAAATCGAAACTTTATTCTTCTATATTATGATTTTCATGCAAACCTACCGGCAAGGAGCAAAGTTTCCGGCCATAGGATTGAAGCGCATTTTTGCTCCGGTCAGTGCTTTGTTCTCGTTGATCTTGCGACCGCCGCCTTCGGTGGTGTTTCTCGCGCCCGCTTTCCATGGGTCCGGAGTGATAACCTTTCCTAGTTTCTTTTCACATTTTTCGCAAACCATTTTGCGTTCCTAAAAGGCTTCAGTACACTGAAATTGATGTTGATTTGTAGGAAATCGTTGACCACTTGTGTACGCAAATAATCGTGTTGTTTTGGTTACCTCGATGCATATATATTTGACAGGGTGTTAACTCGTCGACCGGTGGAAGTGGAACGGCTGCGTTCTGATGTAATCGATGTAATCATCAGAATACTCTAAAAGTGAAACACTCAATTTAGAGGTACTGTGTTTTCCAGATTTACCTATAGACCTTTTTGATATTTAATAGTCTTTCTCTATTTAGTACACAGGGATGAATGAATGGTTTGTTTTCCCACTAAACTGTTTCCCTCTTGCTCGCACTCTTTTCATTTAAATGATGCATTAGTGTACGCCGATTAAACGTCAAAAAGCTCAATAGTCGCTATATTCATAATCTGGCGGATAGAACCAATTCAATATATTTTAGAACAAAAATTGAAAAGGTACTATCAACATTTATAAACAAACGTTGATTATTCTTTCCACGGCAATCGAACGCAAATTACCGGCATCATCGGATAGGGGAAACTTTCCACAAACCAAAGATGGTATTAGTTTGCGTAGGCGAGCCTTGAGTCACGAGAAAATGGTTTCCGACGTTTTGTTCGCAATAGCTTATGTGCTCCACCGTTGATCTGTTACAGTTTGGACCGTAGTTTCTACATTTTTCTGCTAAAATTGCTGAAAGTTTTTCGCTTAGGCAAATGGTGTCCATCAACGAAGTGGAAGTTTTTTTTACTCATTAATGAGTATAAAAATACACATTTTTTGACTGGTACTACATTCTTAAAATGTGTATTTTTTTACACATTTTAAGATCTCCATATTTACACGTTATTTGACAGCTGCATATAAATATAAAAAAATGTGTATTTTTTTTACTCATTTATGTGCTTACGCTGGTTACCGTGCAAACGCTAAGCACGGTAACCAGAACTAGAAGGTCAGAACCGAAGTAAGCATGGGTCTCGGCATGGGTAACCAATTGGCTACAAAGTTGACAAGAATCAGTTAAGACCAAATCAATAGTTGGGGATTTCTTGCTGAAGAAAAGCATGTTGGGCTGTTTGGATATTGAATAGAATAATAACCCGCAGAACAATCATCAAACAGAATATTAACATTGGAATTGCTTTGAGCATTATTCCATAAGCGGTGTTTTGCATTAAAGTCACCAATAATGAAGAATTTAGACCTATGACGGGTAAGTTTCTGAAGGTCACCCTTGAGAAGATTCTTTTGCGGCCTACGCATTGGAATGGCAAATAGGCAGCTATAAACGTAAGTTGTCCAAATTTTGTTTCAACAGAAACTCCCAAAGTTTCAAAAACTTTGGTTTCAAATGAAGAAAGAATTTTATGTTTGATTCGTCTATGAACAATGATGGCAACGCCACCACAGGCTCCATCAAGACGATCATTTCTATAAATGAAATAATTTGCGTCCCTTTTAACCTTATGGTCTGGTTTAAGAAACGTTTCAGTTATAATGGCAATATGCACGTTATGAACTTTCGAAAAGTTAAATATCTCGTCTTCATTATCTCTAAGAGATCGAGCATTCCAATTTAAAATATTTAATGATTTAAAATCCATTACTGAATTTCAAAGTCATGAATAGCATCAAACATGGAGTTAGATTTAAGCATATCAGAAATCATGTCGATTAATGATTTCTGTAAAAAAATCCATTTTAGGAGCAGTAATGCTTCCTAAGTCAAAATTTCCATTAGAATTACGTTGGTTAGTATTTTGATTTCTACCCGTTGCAGTAGCAGCACCGACAAACCGACATGACACTTAATTCTGACTTATGCCCGAAAATCGTAAACGGTCGATTTAAATGTTCAGTGATCCGAACTGTCAAAACCATAGGATTTTTTGATCTAGATAAAAATACTTTGTCCATAATAGTTCAGACATGAACCAATTCACAACTTTTGCATGCAAGTTCAAGGCTTAGCTAAATATTTTTTCGCGAACACGGAGTCAGATGTCAGTAGTGGGCTTTGGTCAGAAATTTTATTGCTTTTGCTATGGTCATTCATGTCGGTTTGTCGGTGGTAGCAGCTTAGGTAGCTCCATTAACTCGCTGAACATTGTTTGCAGCGAGGGCAGCAGGCATAGATGAAAAATTTGAAGCAGGGGTGATATTTGTACCTATGGGTACGAATGTAGAATTTGTTCCACGCTGAGCGTTGTTACCAGCAGAGGAATTTGTACCTGTTCGGAAATGTGGAGCGTTTCCTACCTGTCGCTTAGAACGAGATTGTAGGATCGCTTTGCGAGTCTTACATTCCCGAAAATTGGATTTTTGGTTTTCACCACAATTTGAACATTTAAATTTCTTAGGATCTTCCTTCACATAATTCATGCATTTAGCTGGCATGTAGCAATTTTAAGTTCCGTGACCTCATCCCTAGCACTTACGGCACTGGGTGAGGATGAGGTGGAAATTTCCTCCTTTAACGTCGGTCTCTGCTCCGCAATCTATAGTGCCAATCACCGACGGACATCGATTGCCATCCATTGACGGCAAGTGAATGTGCAGGAAGGCAGCTTCCACACCTGCGTAGGATATCGTACCCATTCAACACACATGGGCCGGGACCAACGGCTTTACTTCCCTTCCGAAGGAAGACGTTACCAGAGATTTTTATGCCTCAGAAAAATCCCACCGACCTCGGCTGGGGTTGAACCCAGACCCATTGGGGTGTTAGAAAGCAGTCACGCTTACCACTACACCACCGGCGCCAGCTGTTCCCACTTCACTCGGACATGGAGCATAAGGCTAGCTTTTTCCAAGGTCTTAAGGTTGTTTAGTTCACTAGACTTGAAGTGAACTAAATAAAAATAATTAGAAATCCCATTGCGGGAATCGCCGGGACGGGGTTTCATTTTTAATTTGATTACTTGGACTGGCACAACTTTGATCTGATCCACACAGCAAAAAAAAAGTTGTTGAATATTACATCAAAACTGCTGCAACCAGGTCAATCCATCGGTTGTGTAATATCACATTGTACGATGTACATCGATTTTGCGAACAAAATTACATCCATTGATGTAATATTGTATCTGCTTTTTGCTATTACATCATTATTTCATACATCAGCTTGAATTACGTTGATCGATATTACATTTTTTTTTTGCTGTGCACGGTGACTGGGCAGTCCTTTCATGATAACCTTGAACACACTTTCAGTTTTGGTAAGTAAAAAAAATATGCTGCTTCTCAGCAAAATACTTGAAAAGACAATTGAATGCGTCCAAGGTTTCAACCGATACACGGCATTCAACCCGACGGCCAATTTGCATTGAAAATTTAAATTTCACGAAGTTCAAAAGTTCCGTGTAAAGAGCATGGAAATCGGAAGTGGTTATCGCAATTGGGGGAATATTTTCCTTCTTGGCATTAAGCCGGGAAAGTTTACTAGATTTTTTCCTGGATGATGAATCATTCTCATCATCCGTGAGCATATCAAATTGATTGCTCAAATTAATTTCATCAGCAGGGGGATCAAGAGTTTGTCCTTTTCTTTTGCGTTTAGGCGCTTTGGCGGCAGTAAATTTTTATCCAAATCGCCTTCCAAGCAGATTACTATAAGAATCTGAAGGATCGAAGAGGAATTTTCCAAATCAATATCCAAGAAAAATTACCTCGGGTAGGGTCCAAACAAGGTTCGAACACTGAACGAATTTGACATATTCCTGTTATGTGGAAGTCTAATAAATTTGCGCTATAAGATAATCCATTGAAAATGATATGATTGAAAATGTGTCAGGTAAATTCTATATGAATATCTGATACATTTACAATGCTGATAATTTGGTAACTTTTATATGATCGTCATATGATAAATGAAAATCGATCAAATTATAATAAATAACTGAAATGGATTTGAAACCCATAAGCATAAGCTATACTTTTCACCACAATATAATATATGTGTCATAAATCAATCGAAGTAAAGTTTATGTGAAAATAACATGAAATTTACTTCTTCTTTTGACACATATATTTAATCGATTTCTAAAAATAAATTCGAAAAATAAACATCAGGCAGTGGGAGCTTTCACAGTTGTGCCTTTTTTTTTATTGCAGCTGATTTGGGATTCGATCAAGGTCTGTTGAGGTGTGATGCTTTCGGTGTCTGTGCTCGATTCCACTGGGCCACGGCTGACTTCAAGATTGAGCTCGTTCAAATAGCATGAAGTAAGAACAGCTCTCCCGACATGGAATGTAGTGCAACTTTATGCTCGTTTTGCTAGAGTGAAGACAAATAGCACTGACAAATTTATGTTCCGTTTCGGTGGTGTGGTTTGTTCAAATCTTCTTAATGCACCTGTGTCCAATAAATCAACGACTAAATTATATGATTTGATAGAACTGGCTCATGAAGTTCGAATACTACTTAGGGCTGGAATCTGAATTAGCCGTGTAGAAGGCTTACAATTAGAATCATAGCAAAGTAAATATTACAGTAGAATATTTTTTTTTTTCAATGTCAATATTTACATTCTTTTCTGGAACCAATTATCATATGAAACAATAACAAACAAAGATTATTCAATACAGTATCATTGTTGTTAATAGTATTTAGTTCAACTAATCATTTTAATGAGTGCACGTTAACATCGTTGAAAATTGTTTCAATAATTTATAAAGAACAATCATGTAAGATGTATTTTATTGGGAGCGATATTCATCCCAGAAAAAACATGCAAAAACAAATGCTTGCTGTTGGATTTCTTAAAAGGCATTTCTATATGACTATTTAATGATTGGGATAGATCTGTTTACAATCTTTAAACGTCAAAAATCAAAGCAAGCTATTACAATGAGATATACATGTTTTCCTATACTGCAAAGTTAAATGACAGTCCAATAGTTTCTACATGTCTATTTACACGCGACATATCAACAAACGTCAAAAATCAGTAAAAGCAACTCCAATAAAATATACATGATTATCTTATAAGATATATATTTTAGTGAGCAATATTCATCATGAAAACAGGTATATTTTACTGAATTTTCTCATAGTGCAAAC